AGTACCGCTACTCCGATGGACGGTAAATACTTCGGCGAGTAGTATTGAATATTTTACTATGATCGGTATCAATACCGCTGCTCCGATGGACGGGGATTCATATGTTCGGCGAGCGCTCTCTGGGGCAGCAGACGAAACAACAACAAACAAACAAATCTGACGAAGGGCTCAACCATATGCAGGTGTGAATATCGCCGTTGTGGGTATCGCCTTCGGTGGACTTCTTTATGGGGCCACGAAGCGTGTAAAGGGTGTGCCGACATGAGGCGGGGACGCATGCGGGCGCAGTCGTTGGGGCATTCGGTGGCGCTCCATATAGGGCCACAAAACGTGTGAGGGGTATGCCGAAATTGGGCTGGGCCGCCATGCGAACGTCGCCATTGGAGCCTCCAGAAGAGTCCCCCATTGGGCCACGAAGCGCTGTACTGAGTGGTGGAGACGCATGCGAACACCGCATCTTGGGCCTTTGGTGGAGCTCCCTATGGGGCCACGAAGCGTTGTAGTGGGCGGGGGGTATGCATGCGAGCACAGCCATTGAGGCCGTCGGTGGAGCTAACTTGGAGGATGGTAGAGTAGTTCGGCTTCCTTGTTTTTTTGTGTAGTCATTTCGCGTGCTGTCCGGTGGGTCTTTTGGGATGTGCACCAGAGATTGCCTTATGATTAGTTTGTTGTGCCGCTGTGTTTTGTCGAATGATGTCGAGTACACCAAAAATGTGCGTCGCCAGGCAGCGTTGCCAGGCAGCTACCTCGGTTCACCTTGGGGCCACGTCCAAGTGGGTTGTCGCCCCCGTCTCCCAGAGCTTGGTGATTGTTCCTTCGGGGCCTTGTCGTCGGCCGCGAGAGTGTTATTTTCCCCCCCCTTTCGGGAACAGATTAGCAGACCTTGCGAGCCTCCTAGTCACAGGCACGTTTTAGCGCTCGCGCGGTAGTGCGGTGCTTGCAAGCATGCCGATGTGCTAGCAGCCAGGTGTTCGCAGGCATGTTGTGGTGCTAGCAGGCGTTTTGTGGTGCGCACAGAGGCACTGCGACCGGACGTTGCCACGATGCTGCGGTGCATTCGCGCGCGCGTTGCGGTGGTGATCGGAGCACGTTGCGGGCGTTGCGGTATTGTCAAGACGCTGGGGAGGAGCCACTTTGGGCTCGGGAGGGGCTCTGGTTTTCTGGATGCTCCTGAGATTCAGGGGCCTGACACGGCCAAAGGGCGCATCACCCCATCGTCCTTTTCTGACTTCTTCTTGTTGTGCTCATCCTTCGTGCCGTCATCCTCTTGGTGCTTCGGTAGGAGGTGGCCCAGGAACACCTGAAGAAGTCGGGGTCGAGCCTCTAGGTCGATCTCAAGGGCGACCTTGTGCTTGAGCTCCTCGTAAGAGCCTTGACCCCAAAGCAGATGATGAAAAATAGTAACTTCTCTCCCTCGTCCTCCGCCCCTGTTGATCTTCCTCCTCACTTTTTGTCGTGTTCTCATTGCGCTGCCTTGATGTGGTCAAATGTCGCGCAATGCTGGCACACGGTAAGGCAGTGGATGAGTACAGGCTAAGTGGCACAATCCAGAAACCATCGCTTGTGCAGATACAGCCTTGGCTTGTGCGCTGGGTGGGAAGATTGCCTGTAAGGACCGTGCCCGTGCTCCTGCAGGTAACTCAATAAGTGGAGTCGCGCCCTGGGTGAGGACTCCAAATGTGTAGGCACGGTAGGCTGGTGAGCAAAAAGGTAATGAGGAGAGCATCGTGTATGACAGGGCATTCCGATTCCCCCGCCTGCCATCGGAGTGCAAGAGGAAGGCATAGAGAAGCAACGATAGGCTGGCCATGGGTGTAGCCTCAGCCATGTAAAAAAGGTTCGAACTGGACGTGGATGAGCGATTGTGTCGTTCGGTCTGCAGAAGAGTCATGGCCTGAGTAGGTACAGGCTAGGATACTCCTCCACCGCCCCAACCCCATCCTGCAGTAACAACAACCTTCCCATGCCACCGGTATGCAAGAGCGAGCATAGGGAAACGTAGGCGTGTAGCGTGAAAATATCTGGGTCTGCAGGCAGCAAAAACGGGTATCGTGGTCAGGCGAGCTATGGGCTGCGACCTGGGGTTGTTTGGTTGACCCCAAGCCGTCGAAATCTGGGAGGGAGGGACGACCAGCATGCCAAGAGAGAAGGAGGGCGTAGGCAGACAGTGCGATGCAGGACGGACAGGTGGGATAGATGTGTGTCTGTGTGTTTCTGTGCTTGCGCGACCTGGTCTGAATAATGCATCAGCACAGTATGGTGAAATGAATGCCGGTCTGAATCGATGATGCTCTGCGGTAATTGAAGAACTGCGGGTACGTGTGGTGGAAGTCGTCGTATGTTGCTGTCGTGTGTGTTATCCCGCTCAGTGACCAGTATCGTCGAAGCCCGTCGACTTGGGCTTGGGTGACGCCTTGTACAATCGTACTAGTTGCTTGGGCGGCGGCTCTCTGAACAGTCGGGGGGTGTCGTGGAGGCATTTGAGGAAGTGTTCGTAACGCGTCTGGTGTGAGCGGAGCCTGTCGATGCAGCTGTAGAAAGTTGGGTCTCCTGTGTTGATCACGAAGGTGATGTGGCGTTTGCAGGTTAGTATGTGTTGGTCGCCTCGTTGCGCAGCTGCGTTTTGTGTTGATATGATTTTTGCTACGATGGTTCGAAAGTAGGTGTGTGGCGCGGCGTATGTCTGTGGCGCCGTGGTGTTGAGATTCCTCCTGTGTCCAACGCTGTGTCATGACCTCCACGTTAGGTGGACAAAGGATTGGTATTTGTAGGGCTGGTCGTGGTGGGTGTGCTGGTACGATTGATCTCAAGGGGGACCACTTGGAGATCGCTGTTGTGTGTAATGGTTTTGGTGTAGCTGGCGCCGGCATGTCGTTGGCATTGTGGTTGGTCTTGAATTGTTGTGGTTGCTTGTTGGTCGCGTAGGTGGGTAGAGGTGGTGGTAGCTGGGCTGGTGATGTGTAGGTGGTCGGGTGAGTGTGATCGGCGTAGTGATCTTGTTGGGCTGGCTTGTGGGAGTTGGGATGGGGTTGGCGTGGTATTCTCCTCCTCCTGCTCCTCCTCTCCTCCTCCTCCTCCTCCTCCTCCTCCTCCTCCTCCTCCTCCTCCTCCTCTCTTCTTTTCCTGTGTTTCTCTGTCTCCTGGACCCCCTTTGGAAAGCATACGTTTCTGACGCCAGGGCGATGTAGACAAGATCAGCATGGCCCCCGCGGGTGGATGACATGTAACGTGCGATAGTTCAGAGGGATACGTGTACGCTGCGTCGAAGCCTTGCTCGCCCATCTCCGCCTCCACCTTTCCCCCCGCCTCCACACTGCTCCGCGCCTTCCCTCACCCCCTGCCCCCCCACCCACCACACCCCACCTCGCGGGCTGAACACATGTCCGTATCTACGGTCTCGCGGGCTGGGCCCTTGGGCCGCGACCCCGTCGTGGATGCGGGGCGTTTTTTCGCAGATGCCCCGCGCGGAACGTATCTATGCGACCGCGTGTCAACAGGATCCTTCCCGGAAATCTAGACCGCGAGGGCGTGGACATGGATATGTTTTCCGTTCGTGGCCACCTCCCCGTGCCGCACCCGCCCCTCCCCCCCCGTCCGTCTTTCCTTTCTTCGCCCCCGCCTCCATCGTCGCCTCGCCCGCTTCCCCTCCTGACCGACACCCAGCGACGTAGGATCCGAGCGAGTCTGGCCGAAGCTCCCCGCAGGCGCCGCTTGCGAATGGCTCCGGGGGCCGCGAGCGGCCTCAATCCGAATCTGAGCTGGCAGCAGGCCTACGGTAGGTTCATGCGGCGTTGGCGCGCTGGCGACGCTGGCGAAGGCGTTCAAGGTTGAATTTCTGCGACGCGGAAGTACCGATGGACACGGTAACGCCACTGGACCCGATTGGTTTCAACCCTGAACGATCGGGGCCACGATCATTTCAAGGTCGGACGATCGACGCGGTGTTACAAACCTTTGCGCGCGCCGACGCCGCACGAACCCACTGTAATCTCGTCGAGCTGGCCGACGGTTTTTTCATGTCTGCTTAGGGCAACGCCCCCTAGCGATCCGCCACAGCCGTCGCGTCGACAAACGCCGAGTCCGCCGCCACCACTCGGGACACGACGAAGAGCCACAACCACAACTAAGGGGATTTTTCGGGAGGGTCCCTCGGGGAAGATCCCACCGACCTCGACAGGAACATTTTGTTTGTGATTGGATTCGGCTGTCCTGGGACGCCACATCGACCACAACCAGAACGAAGCTGGCCCGTCCGTCCTGGGACGCCACATCGACCCCAACCACTGCTTAGGACGTCCCCCAGGGTGTGTCCTCGATGTGGTTGTGGTCGCTAGCCGTCCCCCCCCCCCTTCGCCCCTCCCCCTCCCTTCCCGGTCGCCTCCCCCACCCTCGCCGAGGGCGGCGATGTGCTCGCGTCTCTCGACGCCGGCCGCGAGGGCGAGGGTCCCGGCGACGGCGAGGCCCGCCCTGCCCCGCGTGTGCGTGTGTGCGTGTGTGCGTGTGCGTGTGTGCGTGTGTGTGTGTGTGTGTGTGTGTGTGTGTGTGTGTGTGTGTGTGTGTGTGTGCGTGCTCCCCGCGACGCTCGGCTCCCGGCACCGACGTCGAGGGGCCCCAACCTTTGAGAGGAGGGCCCCATCCTCCCTACTCCTCCTTTCTGCTCATCCCTCCCTCGTCCTCTCTCCTCCCTCCTCCTCCCTGCTCCACCCTTCTCCTTCCCTGCTGCACCCTCCTCCCTGCTCCCCTTGTCTGTCTCCTCCCTGCTCCACTCTCCTCCTCCCTGCTCCTTTCCTCCCTCCTCCTCTCTCCTCCCTCCTCCCTGCTCCATCATCCTCCCTTCTCCTCCCTCGGCTTGCCATGGCGCGCGGGCAACTTCGGTCCGCCAGCGAATGCCAGGGGTAACCCCTGGAAGGACACGGGTCGCAGAGCACCAGGTGCAAGATGGTCGCGGCGTGGGAAAATCCGCAGTATGATGCGTCGGTGTGGGTCTCGCTTTGGCGTGTATTCGGCTCGCTGCAGCTCCGCGTCAACTGCCGCATTCGAACAAGAGGACGCGGTGTCGAGGGAGGGGCTCGCGACGCGCGCCCTGAAGTTCCCGTCGGTCAGCGCTGGCGGCGCGATGTGCCCGCCAATTTGGCGGGGGGTCCGAGAAGCAAGGCTCGCGTTTCAAGCGTGAAGTGGATCGCGTGTCAGCCGACGTCTTGTTGGACAGTTGTGCCTCCGTCATCCAGAACGGCACCATCAGGGCGAACGTCGACGCTTCACTTGGATGTGCGGACCAGACATCTCTGGCGTGAGGCCCATTGCTGTGTTCATGAAGAGTGGGAGGTACGATCGCAAGTATTTCAACGAAGTTGCCGAATCATGTTTTATTCAGCGCGGCCTCCCTGGGGACTGGAACGCCGGAGGCATGTGGGATATGGGCGTGGAGGGCGAGGACTTCAAGCCATCGGCCGGATCCTCAGGACTGGCAGGGACTCCAAGCTTGCGCAGCAGCTCGTCTGGGGCATCGGTAACCTCGCCGACGCCATGATCCCCATGGCCAAAGGCAAGGTCATCGAGCTGGCTCCTGACCTCAAGTTTGATTTCTCTGAAGATCTTTGACGCCCAGGCCGGCACCTGTCTAGACGTGGAAGGTTCGGGCAACCATGGCGCTGCGCTGGTGATCTCGCGATGCCTGAGGGTCAGCAAGCGCGCCGTGATCGACCGCGCGAGACTCGGCTTCGCCATGGGCGCCTCGACGCCTGACACCCACAAGAAGTTATACAGCGCGGTGTTCAGGCCAGGCGACGCCGTGGCCATATACCCACCGCAGGTGTTAACGCGCACAAATGAATCCCCCGTTAGATCGACGGTCCTGATCCTGGTAGGTCCATGGAGGGGGGCCTCCGGACATCCTGGGGCCACCGACCGCTCCGATCCCTTACGTGTTCAAAACTTGGAAATTGATATTGGGAATTTCCTGGAAAACTCAAGTGTTGGACCCTAGTTCGTCGGGCACCTTGTCGACGAGGTCGTGTCGTTTGGTTCCTTGGGCGCCTCTCGGTTCGGTCGAGCGTCTGCAAGTCTCGATGGCAGGGCGGTCGCGATCGATCGGGGCACGGTCGGCATGGGCCCTCAGCAGAGCCAGATCAGTGGCAGGCAGCTGTCTGACAGCAAGAGGACAGCGCTGTCGGCGCAGAAGTACGACGACACCCACATCACGCAGGCCAACGCGCTCTAAGGCAATAGGGGCGACGCGCCTGAATGGAAACCATGGGAAAAGACCAAGGGCAGGTACAAGGTTGAGTCCTTTTATGCTTAGGAAGGCTCTCCAAAAAGTGCTGCTTGTGAAAGGCCCCCGGGGCAATCGCGATCACGCTGAGGGACTTCCGCGATTGGAAGTGCGACCGCTTGCGTTCCCGCCGGGTTCCCGACGCGAAGAGCTTAAAGTGGTCCATGCGGAGTTGGGGGGCCGCTTCAACTTTGGCGACGGCGATGGTTTGGCACGCGGCATCGGTGACGATTTCAATCTGGCGGGCAAGAAGTGTGGCCTGTGGGCGCGTCGGATGCCCCCGAGGCTTGCGAGGGGCGCCACCTGCGGCCCCGTCGACGAGGACGCAAGGTTCAAAGAGTTGAAGGACATCGCGCAGGATGTGAACGCGTTCGTCAAGCCTCTCAAGTGCAACACCTTCTGCGGCGCGTTGCCTGATCCTCGAGGAGAGAAGCGAACCGCCGCGCGCCGTCGGGAACGGCATCGAGCAGGCTACGTGGGATCACAAGGCCGGCGTCGGCCTCCTCGAGGTGGCTGGCGCGAAAGACAACCCGGCGAGGTGGCCAGGCGACCGTTGCGCCTCTCGCGTTGACCGCGACCAGTCCGCGACGCGGTCCGTCTGCTTCTCGCGCGCCGCCATGGTTCGCGGGCAGTCGAGCGCGACGAAGCTCGGCCTCAAGACGAGGGGGCTGCATGGCGACGCCTACCAGCACGGGGGCAACGACCAGGCCGCGGGCGCGAAGGGAGTGGCCGCCGAGCTGAAGCGGGCAGGGATGGCCGCGAGGGGCCAAGTCGAGGTCACGATCGTTTGACACAACATCAAGCAGAACAAGTACATCGACAGGGCGACGTTCGCGATCCGTCGCCCGTGGGCGTCATGGCACAGCTGCAACAATAGGCGCATCAGGGGTCTCACGAACGTCGCGGACTGGGAGGCGGGCCAGGTCGTCTACGGCAAGCTCCTCAACAATCAAGGAGCCCTTCTGCGTGCCAGTCGCGGGCAAAGGCATGATGGCCCACGTCGGCCTCGCTGTGGACCGCAGCCAGATGGACGTGAACGAGGCGTGCTCCATGGACCATCCGCTTCTGAAGATCGAGGGCGACGTGACTGAGGTAATCGGCGCATGCTCCCTCGTCTTGAGTGCCTGCTGCTGCAAGAGGCTCTTCAAGTATTGGAGGGGCTGGCCGAAGCTCTCGGCGGCAGCCCTCGGCGACCTCGGGTCCTAGGACAGGATGTTCACCCTCTTCAAGCGAGACTGCGAGAACTGGGAGGCGCTGGGCAGCGACGCCGTTGGTTTCAAGGCTTTGTTGCGGTTTCTCTCAGCGAGAGCAACATCGTAGCAGCGGATCTCCTCCCCGCCGGCAGATTCTCGTCAGTGCCAGCAGGCGTTTCCTCTTCCGCTTGAGAAGACGGCGCGACCGCCCCGCCTGGCGCCACCTTGAATTGGGCACTGCGGCAAATAACCCGCTGCACATTGATAGGGCTGGTGCCGGTCTAAGGGGGCGGCGGCTGCGCCGTTCAGGGCATTGCCTGCCGGGGGTCGGCGAGGGGGATGTAGATGCATGATTGGGTCGGGGGGGGAGTTGGGGCGGCGGCGCAGGATGCGCGGGGAGGAGTGGGAAGGGGGGCAAGTTCAACGAGGGCGGAAGGACATGGGGGGCCACGGAGGAGCTCGATAGAGGAAGAGAGGTGGTGATTTGACGATGGAACAATACTGCCTGCTCCACTGCCCAATCCCAGTATCTCGTCTGCCCCGAGGCTCGCTAGAAGGAGGACTCGCCAGTCAACCTCGTTCCAGTTAGGCAGCGGCGTCCTTCGCGAAACTGGGTGTCAGGGGGCCCAGAGGTGCATGGACTTCCTGAGCGAGAATCGGGCAAGGCCGCCGCTTTCCCAGATCGCCGAGGACTGCTTCTGCAGGTCCACCGAGGACATCCAGCGCGCTCTAGGTCAGGACAGAAGCATCGACAGGGATCTCGCGAACTTGATCGCGATGGACATCGCTGCGAAAGTTGAGGGCATCAACCAGAAGTTCGAGCCGCCCGCCAGGAACCCCAGGGCCCCCAATGTTTGCCAAAGAGGTGCACCAGACCTCCCCCGAAGACGCGAGGGCAACCGGCCCCCGGAACCTCGCCGGCCTCAGCCAGGTCCCGAAGTGGCCCAGACAGAGCGTTGCCAACGACTCCAGGCCATCTTTCGAGATGGACATGCTGGACCACTGCAGGGCCGCGGGGGTCAGCCTCTCAGCTGCAGAGAAGCACTGGCATTGCACCTTGGCGAAGGAGGTCCAGATCGCCATCGGGCCCGAGGGCCCCCCCGACCCGAAGCATTGATTGCGTCGCCGCGGGGGGCAACGCGCGGCGTCAACGCGTTGGCGGCCAAGCTCAAGTCTCACAAGTGCAGGTTGGGGAACTGCTTCTACGCGATCGACGTCGAGAACGAGCCCCCGCTCAAGATGGCGCGCGTCTTCGATCCGTCGGAATGGGATGCGCTGCCCACGGCCTGGACTTCGCCGCCGATGCAGGTCGCCATGGATGGGGGGCGCAGCTTGCCCGCGGGAGTCGAGGGTGCTGCGCGGAGCTCGAGCCCAATAAATCCGCTTGCGCTCTCTGGCGAGTGGCTGCCAAGAGCGCCTTTTCGGATATTGGTGTGTTCGTTGTGGAGACCGCCCAGAAGGACCTGCGTCGACTCCGTCGGCGGCCTCGACACCATCGACACCTTGAAGGAGTTGGCCACGTTCATCTTGAAGCCGACTGAGCAGGAGCTCTGCGACATATTCCGCAAGCGCTGCTTCGCGAATGTCGTTGACGGGGAAGGCCTTGTGGACATCCAGGGAGTGCTCGCCGGCATTTCTAAGGAGGAGCAGGACCAGACGAATGAGAAGACGAACAAGAAGGGGGCCCAGAAGCTGATCAGGAAGGACTACACCGCGAAGTTCAACCATGTCCGCAAGGAAAGAAGACGGCGCGCGTTTCCGGGGCACTTGGCAGGAATCGCGCCAAGAAGGATTTGAATAACTGGAAGGGGCCTGTCGCGCCGCCCCCGAACGAAATCATCCAATCCGCGGCGAAGGAGTCCCCCCCCCACTTGGGGCGCACTCGTGGAGGGGGCTCGCAGGCTCGAGCGCGCGGCGCGCCCACATTCCGCCGCGCTGCAAGTCCGAGACGTGGCTCGAGGCCGGCAGCTGCGACAATGCGCCCGAGTGCGTCCTCGCCTACGCGTAGAAGATGTTGTTCCAGAGCAAGGGCCTCGACGACGCGCGCTGCCCGATCAAGGACCTTCTGAACAACTTCACTGACGAGGGCGATAAGGACAGTGCGGCCGCCGGCTCGTCGACGGAATGAATGCGCCCAGGGCGCGCTCTAGTTTTTTGTTTGTTTGGTCCGTCGCAGCTGGTTCCTTCTTCTCTACAGGCGCCGCCTGCCTCCAGACCTAACTAGAGACACCCAGTGCGCGAGAAGCCCCTCCCCCCTCAGTCTCTGCTTTGCGGGGGCTGCGAGCGCACGAGCTTCGAACAGGGGCTGGCGAAGTGAGATGCCCGCCCAGCCTAGGCGACTCGCCTAGGCGCCCATCCAGCCTGAGACCTACACGCTAGAATCAAGATGGGGGCGTGCCCCGCCGAGCATCGCAGCGCCCATGACTGCTGGTTCGTGGCAGTTCATGGTCGGCAGCGTGAGGCTGCGCCCAGGCTAGCATGGGCGCCATGTGCTTTCCTCGCACGCGAAGTGATTCCCCGTAGTTCGGCCGAGAGTCAACACGCAGGCTTTCAGGTTCGCAAGGGAGGGGTAGATGGGAGCCGTGACCCCCGCCAGTTCCATCCCCCCGAAGCTCGGCGGGGTCGGCCTGGCTCGGCGGGCTCGGCGTGGAAACTGTCCGCGGCAACCGCGGCCAGCTTCCCTCCCTCTGGCGGCCGCGGGTCCCCCCTGCAATCGTTATCTTCCTCACCCCCCTTTCTCCTTCCCCCCTCTCCCTCGCCCCCCCCTCTTCATTCCCCGTCAGCCGCTCTCATGAGCTTCCACCTGCTTAATTGCATTCCAAGGGAACGTTTACAATGTGGCATGTTCCTCTACCTTTGCCGTCATGCTACATGGGACCTATATGTGCCTTTTCAACTTTAATCCCGTTTTCCCCTTGCCCCCTTTTGCCCACTCTTCCCCCTTCCCCCTCGCCAGTTGTCCTTTCCCCCTTTCTTTTCCCGCTCCATCTTCCCTTTTCCCTCTTCACTCTCACCCGTTTCCCATCGGTCGTGCCTCCACCGCCAGATGCCAGTTCTGTTCAAGCCCATCCGCGCTGAGAAGAGCACTGCCACGTTCGTCCGACTCCGCGTTCAGCGACTTTGAGATGCGCGCAATGGTTTGGATGACCATGATAGCGGAGCTATGTTGGCGTACAGCCAACTTGTTGTCGCGGGCCCCCCCCCTTGCCCTTGTGTTTCCTGGTGGCCTCCAGGGGCTGTTTTGATCGGTGTTGGCGTCCTGGCCGTGGTCGGGCCTCAAATCACGCGTCCGCCTGGGCCTTGGGCGTATCGGTCGCTGGCGTGGGCTATTGTTCGAGGCTGATAGTTTTTCGTTAAGTTGTGCGAAGGTGCTTCTTCTAACGGTGGCGCGGGGGTCAGATTTTCCGCTTGGAAGAATCCGGCCCCCGAGCGGCGAGTGCATTTTGTTGAGGCTTTCCTTCTTGATCCAACGTTCTGACAAAACAAAACAGGTTTTGCTACATACTCGGCCCCTGGAGGCCACTGCCGGGCCCCAGGCCCGTAAACCAAGATGCCTGGGGCGAAACACCGGCCTTGGGAAAAGGGTCGGGATCTCTGGGGACTTCGACTAGACGTAAGTGTGACCCTTCGCCAGAGTGACCTTTTGGTGCGGGCACATTGGGATACCCCGATCGGCGAATTTGATGCGATAGTAGCGTTTTGGGCGCCTGTGTTTGGTCACCCTGTGGCCCCCAAAAAATCGCGCACCAAAGGGCACTCTTACTCAGGGCCACTCTTGTGCGTGGCTGATCTCAGTCGGGACACCGCATTTCTGGTGGCCACCGAGTCTCGATGCGTTCGTTCCCCGCTGAGCCTTCCGCCCTTATCGTTACCCTTTTTTGGCTTTCGGGTCGCAGCTCGGCACTCCGGCGGCCGTTCGGGACGATCCGGATAACTGCCCCTGGAACGCTGCGTTCGTTCCCCGCTGAGGCTCTATCCCACCCGATCGTTGCTCTTGGGCTTTCGGGTCGCAGCTCGGCGCTCCGGCGGCCGTTCGGGGGGATCCGGGCAACCCTGAAACGCCCTCGGCGAGGCGCAGCCGCTGTAGAGCACCCCGAGGCCAGAAAGCCGCCGAGAAGCGCCGAATACATTTGAAAATCGTGAACCTCGAAGCTTCGAGTTCCTGATTTGGGTCAAGAGTCGATCCCTGGACCCTCCTGGGGTCAGTTCTGGCCAGAATCTCGAGACGAATCCAGCCGTGGCCACGAGGGCGCCCATGGGCGATCGACTGCAGACTCCAGAAAAGCGAACCTCGATCCTCGGACCTCGAGTCCCTGAGCCTATGCCCTCGACGAATGTCGACCCTCGAAACTTCGGTCCTCGACCTGGCGCGCTCCAGAAAGGTCGTTGCAGTCGAGGGTCTTCCTCGGCGCAAGGCGGTGGAAGGTCGACGGAAGCTGGCGGAAGTAAAGGCCGGCGAAAGCCGGCGGAAGTAAATGGTGCGCCCCCCAAGAGATGGCAGCCTGTTGGGTTTCCGGGTTTCTGGAACCCGCCGCATGTGCTTGCAAGTCTCGGACATTGCCCTCACCCCCCGCCGCCTCGCTCGGACCCGCCACCGCGGGGAGCTACCTCACTTTCCGGACTCCCTGATGGCCTTCCGCAGCTTAATGCAGACCCATCCTAGCAGAGACTAGGTGGCATAGCTAGGGGAACAAAAAGTGGCATAAACATAAAAACTCGGAGGTCCGCGCGGATTTCTCAGATCGGCGCTGGGGCCCCCCGGCGGCGCCTCCGGCGCCGCCCCTGGCGCGCTCCGCGCGCCAGGGAGGGGGGTCCAGCGCCGATCCGAGAAATCCGCGCGGCCCTCCGAGTTTTTCTGTTTATGTCACTTTTTGTTCCCCTAATAGCACTGTGGAGAGGCATGCCTGCCACCGGCGGCCTCGCGCGCCAGGTGCTGCCCGCGCGCCTGTCCTACGCCCAGCTCCGCTCCGGCGCCCTGCGGCTCGCCGCGGCGCTCGCCGTCCGGCTCGCGGCGGACGCGGGCGGCGCGCCTGAAGGCTTTTTTTGTTGTTGGTGTGTGTTTGTGTGTGCTGTGTACTGCGTTAGGGGGCCACATGCGAACCCTACCCCTACCCTCCACGATTTCTGAGGGGGAGGGTGGGGTAGGGTTCGCATGTGGCCCTCTACGTGTGCTTGTGTGTGTGAGTCGGTGTGGTTTCGAGCCTTGTCAGCCATCAAGCAGTGGCGAGGCGTCCCCGCTTGCCTATAGGCCCGCCCAGCGGTATTCTAAACTTTGTCTCTTGATTTGCACGACGGTGTTTTTTTGACACTTCTGTTTGAGACCGTTTCGTTGTATTATGGTTGCACGTCGGCTTTCTGTTCTATGAACGTGTATTCGTTGGTTCGAATATTTTGTTGTTCCAAGAACAGTTCGTGGCAGGCCTTCGTGGTGGGTGTGTACGTGGTCGGATGGGCGTTCAGCGCCGATCCAAGACATCCGCGCGGACCTCAGAGAAGTTATGTCCATGTCATTGTTTGTTCCCTTGACAGCCACCTACCTGCAGCGGAATCCCCAGCCGCATGAAGCCCCCGGGGCCCCGCCGTGGCGACGAGGACCCAAGACAGGGCACCGACAGAAGCGTGCCCCATCCGAGACCCCGCAGGGATCTCGGGAAGACCACGCTCCACCCCCGCGGATTTGGCCCGACCCACCCAGGAGCCCCGTAGCAGACGCGCCACGACAAGAGGGCCAACAGGCGGGCGACAGAGGCGGCCACAAGGGCCCCCCTCCAAGACACCGCCCAAGACGCCCCAGAACAACGAGCCGCTCCCCACCAACTATGGTGCGTGTGTGTGTGTGTGTGTGTGTGTGTGTGTGTGTGTGTGTGTGTGTGTGTGTGTGTGTGTGTGTGTGTGTGTGTGTGTGTGTGTGTGTGTGTGTGTGTGTGTGTGTGTGTGTGTGTGTGTGTGTGTGTGTGTGTGTGTGTGTGTGTGTGTGTGTGTGTGTGTGTGTGTGTGTGTGTGTGTGTGTGTGTGTGTGTGTGTGTGTGTGTGCGGGTGTGTGTGAGTGCTGTGTGTTTGTGTGTGTGCGTCCAGGTCATGTCGCTCCGAGGCGGAGATTTTGCCATAACTCGGGAGGAACGAACTTCTAGGCCTCTCAAATGGGGTCGAAAGACCGAAGGACCGCTATGCGGCTCGATGTGGATCTCGAATTTCCTCACGTCAACGTCGCCCGTGCATCGCCGACGTCGGCAATGCATCGCCAACGCATCGCCGATGTATCGTCGATGCGGCGCGATCCCCCGACCCCATCCACTCCGACCCCACATGGGAGGCCTGCAGAAATAGGTACGGAAGGAATGGGTACGAAGGCCGCCAGCAATTCCTGTTTATTTTGACGGGGGCTCGCTGTCGGTGTCGCTGCGGACGTTGTCAATTTGAGACAGAAGGCCGGTCGCCTGCACAACAGCGGCCGCTGTCGGATTTGGATCATCTTTCTTGTTGGGCATCTCCCGAGGCGTCGTGAATCCTCGCTCCAGGAATGGCACAGTGTATTTTGCTTCGGCTCTTTGAGCCGATCAACTCTGCACCGCACCGCGTTGGAGTGGGGCCTGAAGGGAGTCCTGACATGGTACGGCGCCTGGGTGCAGGTCTCGTAGGGACGTCAGAAGGGGAGGAGATACCACTACCGCTCGTCCTCCCGCGTTGCCACGGTCGGCTTCGCCTCGATATCATGGTCGTCCGAACGTATCACTGGACAGGTCTGGGGATAAGCAGTAAGGGTGCCAGTCTGTCCCCAGGATTGGTGGAGGGGATGCTACTCGCCGATAAAGCAAGTTTCTTCCGTGAGCACCGCACCCGCGACAAGATCTGCACGGGCAGCGGGCATGTCAATGGCACCGTGCTTGGAGGATTTAAACCGAACTGCGCTGAGACCAGCCGAGAAAAACGTACAGCCGGACCGAGGTATAAGATCGGTTCGGGGAGGGTGTTGTATTGTTTTTCGTGTTCTGTTGGATGTGCTGGTGCACCCTGGAGAGGGTGCCCTTGGATGTTCTGTGTGGCTAGGCTGTCGGAGGGTCTCATGTTCTTGAGGCATGTTGGTTGTTCTGGCCTAGGTCCGACTGTACCGATGACGGCACCACTCCCTCGTTGCCGCCGTTTTGGAGCTTCCTGGGGGGGGGTCCTCGCCTCCAAGAGTTGGATTCGCATCGAGGTAGTAGTCAGAAGGCATCCCAGGCGAGGTCCGTGGAGTAGCTGTATCGGTGTTTTTCTTTTGCCGCCGCTTGCTTGCGAGGAGGCCCGCGCGGATCTCTTGAAACGGCGCTCGTTCCCCCTCTCCCCCCTGCGGCGCCTCCAGCGCCGCCTGCTCAGGGCCCACCGCAGACTCAAGAGACACGCGAGGACATCAGGGAGCTAATGCGTGCGAGCAGCGTCTTCCTGTGTTGTCGACTCGCCCCACCTCTCGCGAAGAAGGACCAACGGCATAAGCATAAACCTTCGACGGTCCCCGTGGATTTCTTGGATATGTGCTGGGCCCCCCTGGCGGTGCCTCTGGCGCCGCCCCTGGTGCGCTCCGCGAGCCAGGGCGGAGGGTCCAGCGTAAATCCAAGAAATCCGCTCGGACTGTCGAACGCTTATGCTTATACCATTTGCTCTTCCTCTGCTGTTCGCCTTCCCTCATCCAGGCATATGCCTGTCGCTCGCCCTTCCCCGCTCAGCGATCTCACAGGTTCCTGCGCAGCGCGAAGAGCAGAAACTCCCACTGCCCCCACAACCAGGACACTGCTCGCCTGGACTTAGCACACCAGCAGACCGAATTCCAATCAGATCCCATGGTCTCCAGGACAATTCTAGGATCATCCACCTGGCAGATTCCATTATTCATCAGCCCAGGGAAATTGCAGGATCTCCTGGACATCTCCGATGACCTCCAGGAACAATCCATCTGGAGAACACGAAAGCTGAAACAAATCTCGGACCTCGGCTGCAGCTAACTCGTGCGCGTCAATGTCATTTATGGTTTATCAAGGACGCCTACTGCGAATCACCGCCGCCCCCTACCTTTTGGAAGCGCCTCTGTGGCCGAACGTTGCGGCCAGAGTAAGGCCAGGTCATCGGACTATGTGTTCCCCCAGCCGTCGTGGAAACCTTTCCGGGAGGGGGGGAAGAAGACGAGGAGGAGGCGGCCTCTCGGGAGCTTTTTGGGCACTCTTCCAGCCCCCCAGAAGCTTCTTAGGGGCCTCTTGGAGGCCCATTGATGGCTTCCTTGGGCCTCTCGGGGGCCTTTCGAGGTTCCTTGGGAGGCTCTTCGGTTATCTGAGGGCGTTCCTGGCCCGTCGGACGCCGTCGGAAGCCATTTAGGGGGCTTCTCTAAGCCGATTTGGAGCTTTCTTGGGGCGCTTCAGGACTGTTTTGGATGCCATCTTAGGCGTCTTGGAGGTTTCCTGGGCCGCATTTGAGCCCTCTTGGGCCTTCTTGGGGGCCTCTTGGGTCGTTCTGGGGCAATCCTGGAGGCCTCTGGGGCGCTCTTGGGGCCATCTTGGTGTCCTATGGGGCCGTCTTGGGCCGTCGGAGTGCCGAAAATGAGCAAACGCCAGAATCGTTCACCAGTGATGCTGGCCGCTTAGGACAGTCCTGGAGGTCCTCTTGGAAGCCTCTTGGACCGTCTGGGGGGCCTCTTGAGCCATCTTGGGCTCTCGTGAGGCCATCGTAGCCGTCTTGGAGTTCATCTTGTCCATCTTGGAGGCTATCTTGGGGCCGCCTGCAGCGGTACGGCCGACCACCTGGAAACTTTACGGGCCCCCCTGGTTCGGAAGGTCACACGGGAGGCCCCCTTGTCCGAAGGGTTGGCTCGATCGGCCAAGACCCCATGGGAAACCTTCGCAGGGCATCTGCACGACCTCAAGTTTGGCACGCTGTGCGTCCCTGTGGCAAGCCGGTGGGGGCGGCGGATCGGAAGCGCATACGGCGAACCACCGCCGCCCCCTGCCTTTTGGAAGCGCCCGCAGTCAAGGTGCTGAAATCACGCCCGCTTCGGGCTCAAGGGGGGCTCCAGTTTTCGGGCCGTTCGTTTGGTTTAGATGAAGAGCCTATTCGTGGCCGAGGCCCGCCGTGGCCAGAAAAGCCCCCTCGTTCCTTATTCAGCGTTTCTGATGGAAACACGATTCTGTGACAGAGCGTTGTGGCGAGAGCTGGGCCAAGTTATCGGATCAGATGTTCCCCGAGCCGTTGTGGAAACGCTTCGGGAAACACGTCGGGGAGAAAGAAGAAGAGGAGAAGATATCTCTTCGGGCTTTCATGGGAGCTCTGTCGAAAGCTAGTTTGGGGCCGTCTTGGGCTACCGTGGGGCCAGCTTGGGTGCATCTTGGGCCGTCTTGGAGACATCTTGCGGCCATCGTTGGCCCTCTTGGGGCCGTCCTAGACGACGTGGATGCATCTGGGAGGCCATCTTCAGCCATCAGGGCGGTCTTGGAGCGGGAAGGCCAATGACCCTGGGTCGTTTACGACGGGCCCTTATCGGGCGCCTTGGAGGCCATTTGGGGGCCGTTTGGAGTGGGAGGGCTGACGAACTGGTAAGTCAATGGGTCCCTACGGGGTTTGGAAGACCGGTGAACTGGGACGTCGACGCGCCTCTCCAGGTTGCTGGCGCAGTAGGCCGAAGACCTCCGGAAAAAGTTCTAACAGGACCAGCAACTACCTAAAGTTCAGCACGCCGTGCATCCCTGAGGCAAGCCAACCAGGGGCGGCGGATCGAAGACGCCTACGGCGAATCACCTCCGCCCCTTGCCTCTTGGAGTCGCCCATGTGGCCGAGCGTTTTGGCAAGAGCTCTGCTAAGCTATCGGACCAAGTGTTCCCCTAGCCGTTGTGAAAACCTTTCGGGGGACACGTGGGGGAGGATGGCGGGGAATACCAGGAGGAGGCAGAGGAGGAGGAGGAGGAGGAGGAAGAGGAGGACGAGGAGGAGGACGAGGAAGATGAACAGGAGGAGCAGGAGGAGGAGGAGAAGGAGCATGAGCAGAAGGAGAGGGTACTCTTGGGGCCTCCTGGGGGCT